GAGAAATCCTTGAGGACCCCTTGTCTTACTAAGATTTCTGTTTAGAGATCTCACCCCACGTTTGGGGCACATATTTCAGATTCAGGTAACTCGGGGGTTGAGACCTCGGGCGGCAAGAGGCCAGAGCTAAGTTAGACATTGCTGCTTATACTGTTATGATTGGATGTTGACATGCTTTATGTTATTATTATGATTTTGTTGTTGAGACTCTGTTGGGCTTTGTTGCCTTATTTGGTGAGCATGGGGGTTGTCTATGCCACATTGATTGACTCTGTTTTATCTTAGTATTGAGTTGAATAATGGTATCAGGATTGTGGTCCGGACTACGTGTTATAGTTCCGTGACTTAGATACTCACATTTTTATATTATGAGGTTATTCAGTGTATATAGCTGTCTATTTGCAATTACATACAGGAAATGTTTTGAAAAAGGATTAAGTAATCAATTTGGTCATATTAATGACGTCATAATTGAAAAGAAAAAGTTATTCCACATTTTTAATTAAGCAAAGCTTAATACGATGACATGATAACAAACTGGGTATACACAGGGTGTTACATTTTATGGTATCAGAGCACTTTCTAGGGAAGAAGCTTGTATGTATTGCAATAACTTAGGATGTTTTGTTGTTTGTCTGTCTTGTGTGCTCTCTCTTTTGGGTTTTACTATGATGATGCATGAGTGACCACATCGCATGGGCCTGATCAACTCATTCTTTGTGTAACTTGTGCAGAGTCATGGTAATACCTCGGAGGAGCCGAGAGACGAACGAGGATCAACCTGATCATGTCCTGGCTGCATTAGCTGAGATGCAGGCGGCCCGACTAGTCGACCAGGAGGCCATGAGAGTGGCTAACCTGTCCATGTTGGTCGCCGTCAGAGAGGCGAACCGAAAGGCCACAAAGGATGTGTTGGAGGCTAATCGCCTGGCGAACATGACCATGATGAGGGTCATGTTGGAGAAGATGAGGGCTGGTCCTGCTGGTGGCCAGTATCCTCCGCCACCACCTCCACCGCCACCACCACCACCACCACCACCTCCACCCAGTCTTCAAGACGATAGCCAGAGTCACGTTGAGGGTGCCAGTCAGCGTACTGGGGTGATGGAACCCTACCATGAGCCTGTTGAGGACCGTGATGTGATCAACCGCTAACTTAATGCTTTCCACAAGCATAAGCCACCTTCCTTTGATGGATCTTATGATCCTATTGCTGCTGCGAGATGGCTTCAGGTGTTGGATAAGATCTTCTGAGTCATGCAATGCACTGATCAGCAAAAGTTGATGTTTGCGACGTATATACTGGAGGGCTATGCACATGAGTGGTGGATGAACACCTCTCACGTCTATAAGATGTAGGGTCATGTCATGACATGGCCATTCTTCGAGGACTGCTTTTTGGGCAGATACTTTCCTTATGATGCTCAAGAGAGGAAGCAGGGAGAGTTTGACAGGATAGTGCAGGGCTCGTTGTCTGTTAACAAGTACTTGGCTAAGTTCAATGAACTAGTCAAGTTTGCAAATTTCAGGATTGTTATTGCTGCTAAGTTCCGTAGGGGACTTAACGAGGAGATAGCTGATCGCATTGCTGGAGCTGCATCGAGAGATTTTGGGACACTGGCAAAGCAGTGTCGGGACATCGAGGATGTTTGCATCGTGAGTAAGGCCAAGAGGGCCAAGATTGCAGATGTTAAGGGGACTGGTAGTTCCACTTCCTGGAGAGACAGGAAGTTTGGGGGAAGAGGTAAAGGAAAGCAGTTGGCGACTAGGCAAGCGCCAAATCAGTTTAAGAGGACTGCTACTCAGGGGAGTACAGCGAGACCTCCTGCTCCCAGATAGGGTTGGCAAAAACGACCCAACCCGTCGGGTTGGCTCGCAAACCGTCCTAAATGAGTCGGGTTGGGTTGGCTTAAATGAGCTGCCAACTCGATTCAACCCGACTCGATCCAACCCTAACTCAAACGAGCCAGCTCGCGGGTTAAACTGGCTAGCTCGCGGGTTGGCTTTTTTTTATTAATTTAATTAATAATATTAATATCATCACTTTCTTAGTTTCTTTCTCGTTCTTTTTTTCCAACCTTAACCGAACAGCCTGTGCTAATCTTCCCCCTTTGCCTAACCGAACCCTGCAAGGAGGAACCCTGCGACTGCAAGCTGCGACCAATCCATCACCATCCTCGGACCAATCCATCACTTTCTTAGTGTTTTTGTTTTCGTTCACTCAGGTTTGTTTTCAATTTTATTTTTGCTTTAATAATGGTTTTTATTAATTCACTCAGATTCCCTTAAGGTTTGCTTATGCTTATTAATTCAATTGTAAGACACTATCCACATTTTGCTTATTTTATTTTGATTCGTTTTCGTTTTCACTCAGGTTTGCTTATCTATTTGTTTTAATAAAATTCAATTTGGAAGGGTTTAGAATCTTTAGATGCATATATAGATTTTAGGGAATTTATTTGTTTTAAAAGGATCAATATCTTATAATGAGAGTAACGACTTGGAAGATCACGATGGAAGTTGCAGAGAAACCCTATGTAATTTCTTTGGGCATACTTTTGAACCTATGTGTTTGACCTTTCTAAGTTATTATGAACCAAGTGTTACTGGATAATAGGCCAACTTCAAATAATGGATGATCTTTGACTCCACAATAGTTTAGATTTATTAAGATTGAAAAATTAGTATTGGTTTGAAACTTTGAATTGGTTTGAATTTTATTGTTCAAAATTAGTATTTTTTTTACTATCTGGTATATTTTTTTCAATATTCCATTTGGTGTTTCTTATAATTTTACAAACTGTGTAGCCACAAGTACCACACACACTGAAAGGAAAGTGCAGATTTGACTAATTCAAGTGCAAAAACTAAGTTTGGCGTTGAGCATAAAGTACTTGATAATTTTTTTCCATTTATTAAAGCTGCTTTGGTTGTGCCTAAAGAATAGTTAAATACTTAAAATTTATGTTGACGTACTTGAGAATAGTTAGATTGATACAATAACTCTTCAATCTATATAAGCTGTATAGACGTACTTGAGAGTTGAGACCTTCTCTTTCTCTTTCTTTCAATAATTTATTGGTTTAAATATAATTTTGATTCCTATAATGTTTACTTATTTTTGGTTCGGTGGTTCCAACAAATTCTCAACTCTGAATTAGAGCAAGGAGTTCAACCAATAGTATATAAGGGAGACTTATTGATTAGTATATCGTTATTTTAACTAATGCATGTGAATTGTGGAGAAAAAAATGTTTGTGAGAATTTGAAATGTAAATCTAATAATGTCATAATAGTTGACTCTATTTTGTGTATGGTAAAGTAAATCTAAGAGGAGAGCCTGTGTGATTAAATGACTCCTTTTTGGTTGAAAGATAATATATTTGAATTGCTCTGTAATACATAAGGCTAAAGTTACAAATAAGAATTGCTCTTACCATCACCTCACTCTCGCTAATCCAAGTGGGGAAAGTTCTATTCTTTAATTTTGATTGAATTCTGGCTAACCAATTCATCCAGTTTCATAATCAGATCTCGGGTTTAAAAGTAGGGACAAAGATGTAGCAATTGTTTTCTAAAATTTAGCAAATATTAGCACATGCCCGTATTCCACCATACAAATTGTGTTACGCAACTTAGAAATGAAAAGACATAGGGAAAGCTATGGTGCTTATATAGATATTCAAGTCTTAAATATCACTCCTAAAGAGAATTTATGTTGCTTGAAGCTATGATGGTGGCATGATGCTAATTTGTGCTTTGTTTCGCTGATTGAATCATCTCATAAAGTAGTCAGCTATATATTCTCCTCCATGATTCCCTGAATGACTTGATTTTCTTGTTCCTTTCCCTGTTCATCAAAAGACATAGGGAAAGCTTGGCATCAAATTTGTAACGTGCAGACTTCAAGTCTCTGAAAACTGTAAATGGCTGATTCGAATAGGTAAATATTTTCCTATTTTTAAAATGCTGTTTTGTTTCACTAATTTTTATTTTAAATTATCTTTTCCATTTTCGCTATAGTAATTTTATATTAAACTTTGATATAGGGAAAGCTTGGCAATGATTGAAGAGGGCAATGATGCTGATGCAGAAAGCGATGAATTGGAAGTTGAAGAAGGACCTGCTTTTAAAAGGCCTAGGAAAAGGCAAGCGCGTTGCTGGAAACATTTCACAATAATAGGAGAAAAAGGGCATGAAAAGGCAAGATGCAATGGTTGCAAGATAGAGTACAAGATGGACAGTAAGACTTGCGGTACGTCTACTTTAAACCGTCACATTGACAAATGCACACAAATCAAACATGAAGAAATTGGCCAAGTCATTTTAGACATGCAAGGTAAAATGAAGGCTATAAAAATAGATATCAAGGTAGCACGTGAGATGTATGCTGAAGCTGTTATTGAACATGACCAGCCCTTTAACTTTGCTGAGTATAGGAAGTTTAGGCGTTTTCATAATTACTTGAATCCAGATTGGACTGGCATTTCTAGAAATACTCTTAAACAAGATGTTTTAAATGTGCACATGAGAGACAAGATGAAACTGAAAAAGATGTTTGGTAGCATTGAAAGTAGGATATGCTTAACTTCAGATTTGTGGACATCTTGTAATACTGAGGGTTATGTTTGCTTAACTGCCCATTACATTGATGTAAATTGGAAGCTGAATAGTAAAAGTATTGCCTTCCGTCATATGCCTCCTCCTCATACTGGATTTGAATTGACTCATAAAATACTTGGTTTGTTAAAGGAATGGGGCATAGAGAAGAAGATTTTTACCATTACTTTGGATAATGCATCTGCAAATGACTCTATGGTTGGTGGTTTGAGAAGCCAATTGAATATGCAAAAATTGTTGTTATGTGATGGGAAATTTTTTCATGTGCGTGTTCTGCACACATATTGAATTTGATTATTCAAGATGGAGTAAAAGTTGAAAATGATGCCTTGTCTCGGATTAGAGAGAGTGTTAAATATATAAAAGGCTCAGAATCAAGAATGATCAAATTTAAGGAGTGCATTGAACAAGTTGGTGGTGAGAAAACTGTAACTACATTGATAGCAGATGTACCCACTAGATGGAATACCACTTATGAAATGCTTAATCGTGCTCTCAAATTCAGGCGTGAGTTGGCAATTCTCCAATTGAGTGATAGAAATTACAAGTATTATCCTTCAGAAGAAGAGTGGAATAGGCTGGAAATTCTTTGTCGGTTCTTGCAACCATTTTGTGATATCACTAATTTGATGTCTGGCACTTCTTATCCTACTTCTAACTTGTATTTTCTACAAGTTTGGAAAATTCAGCGTGTTCTCATTCATATGAGTAATGATGAAGATGTGGTTGTAAGTAGCATGGCTAATAAGATGATGGATAAGTTTCGAAAATATTGGGAAGAGTATAGTGATGTGCTTTCACTAGGAGCTGTTCTTGATCCTCGGATTAAGTTTACTACATTATCTTTTTGTCATAAAAAGATTGATGCTTACACACATGATGACAAGATGGAAAATATAAAGGCAAACGTGTATAAGCTCTTTGAGAATTATGTAAACATTAATTCATCAACTACCATTGATCAAAGTCAAGATAACACTCACTCTTCAAGTCAAGGGTCAATGGAAACGAGAGGATGGAATGATGAGATCTTTGATGTAAGTTCATGTTTAGCAAAAAGCTTCAATTATGTTATATCATATTCATTTTCACGCCTTTATTTATATGCATGTACTTACTTACTTCAATTATTATGTTTTTGCACTTCTCAAATATGATAGGAATTGTTCTTGCACAATCAACACCTTGCAATAAATGCTGGAAAATCTGAACTTGATGTTTATTTAGAGGAGCCTATATTGGTTATTGACAACTGGAATAGTTTTGATGCATTGCAATGGTGGAAGGATAATAGTTGTCGTTTTCCGAATCTATCATTAATGGCTCGTGACTTGTTAAGCATTCCTATTACCACTGTGGCATCTGAATCTGCTTTTAGCATTGGATCACGTGTGCTTAACAAATATAGAAATAAGTTGTTGTCAAAGAATGTTGAAGCTTTAGTATGTACCCGCAATTGGTTGGCTGGTTTTGATGCCAATGGTAATTTATTTATTTTCAATGCAATTAAAATTTCATTTTCATTTGTCATTGTAACCTTAATTGATTATTTACATTTTATGGTTTGTGTTTTGTAGATGATGATGATGATGAAGATGGTATTTCCCATATATTAGCTTCTTCACGGGGATCTAATGGTCATGAAACTTTGTAGATGATCCAATGATGATGGTGTACTTTTGGATGTTTAGACTTTGATATTGTTCTGTAATGGCCATGGGAACTCATAGGGCAATTTTTATTTTGTAAAGTGTTTGTCTAGTGCTATGTTGAGATTTCTTAATTTATTGGTTATGTTTTATTAGTTACTGTCTTTACACCATTATCCATTAGACAATCAATAGTTTTGGCAGTGATGATAATTTTATGCAGTGTTGGAGAACAAATAAGACTAGTTTCACAAAAATCAATTTTTTTGAGCCAACTCGCGAGCCAACCCACTGGCATTATTTCGAGCCAACCCGTGAGCTTTTTTCTGAGCCAACCCGCGAGCTTTTTTCCGAGCCAACCCGCGAGCTGATTATCGAGCCAACCCGCAAGTAACCCCTAACCCGGCTCGGGTTGGGCTGGGTTGGGTTTTCTGGCTCGTTTATGTTATCGAGCCAACCCTAACCCAACCCGATTTTTACGGGTTGAATGCGGGTTGGGCCGGGTCGAGCCGGGTTGGCCCGTTTTGCCAACCCTACTCCCAGATGCACGGTTTTTGGTGGTTTGCTGATGGTGGAAAAATATATATTCTGATGAGCGACGTTCCTCTGTTCTGAATTAGCAAAAGAAAACAGATTTGTTCCCTTACTTCCAACCCAAGTGCGCAAGTGCACGCATCAAGTAATAATGGGTGTATTAATGTCAAGATTATCGTTTCCACGAGGATAGAACTCTAAATAATGTCTTAAACTATTTTATAAAGAATGAAAATGAGAAGAAAAGTTAGTGGTTGAACTGTCTGGTCAAACGTTCTCTACTGTCTTGACAACGTTCCTCAGGAACAGTAAGTTCAGTCTGATGGCAAACAATTACTCGATGCGTTATATATACGAGCCTTCCTGCTTAAGAGAAGGTGTGACAATAATCATTGGAGATTGATAGATACAAGATTGAATAAAGTAAAAATAAAACAGTAATAACTATAATCAAGAGACAACAAGGTGGATGATTTTAAAAACAGTTTAACACAAGGAACAGATTTACTGCTCCATTCTTAAATAGTTATTTTCTCTGCTCAAGACTTAGCACTTTTTGGCTTTGTCCCAGTTTCTTAACTGCCAACTCTGATTCCTCAGCTCATGGACTGGATGGCTCACAAGTTTCCATATTCTTATGGCTCCCTTGACTCCAACAGGTACTTGGTACAGAACCTTAAAGTGGACGAAGTGGCCCCTTATTTCTAAGGTGACCAATAGTGTCGTTTCCAAAACACTACCTTCACCCACTGGCTAAGCTGTCTGAAATTCCTTCCTTAAGGAAGTTCCTTTCTCAGTATGTGTTCAATTTCCATTGATACAGAATGAATATAGCTTACTTAGCCAGAGAAATACAAAAAGCTTCAGTCAAGAGTTTTGAAAATAATTCTTTAAGAGTTTTGCAATACAAAAAGCTTCAGTCAAGAGTTTTGAAAATAATTCTTTAAGAGTTTTGCAGCTTATCCGTTCCACAGATACTTCAGCCCGTGGCTGTTACTATAAACATAATTATTCTAAACTGAAGTCCCATAGACCCGAGATTCAGTTCAGAGATAACGAGTGGAAAGGAAAGAAGAAACACTATTGAAATGTAACAAGAACGATTACAACAAAATATAAAGTGGAGAAGATGGTTGATGCTTGTGAGGAGTCTCAAGTGAGTGTTACAGAATAAGGGATGAGTGTTGTCACTTAACTATAGCTACAACTATACAAAAATCAAAACTACTAAATAATAATAGGTGATCTCTTCTTCAGGAATTTGATTCCTAAGGAATTCAATGATGTCTTCGTGTTTGGGACGTCCTATTTATAGGCAGAAGAGTAAGTGACAGTCTTGTAAAATCCTTTGGAGTTGGTTTCTTGACTGAAGGGACGGGGCGGTGGCAACAGTGTTTGGAATCTTGCAACTTGCTTGGTGAGACAATTAATGTTGATGATTAGCCGTTTTCTTGCAGTCCCATGTCTTGCTTTCTTCTTAGCCAATGAGAACTCTTTATTCCCTGCTGTACACGTTTCTTTGTGCTTAGTTGATGCACCGCCTCTGCTTTATGAAGACTTTGTTTCCATGTTTCCTGCAAAGTGATCAGAAGCATTAAATGAGTGGAGCAGGTGCAATAAATGCTCTCAATCTGTTCCCCTTTTAATATGTTTTCAAAGGATTACGTCATCATCCGTCCCCCCACTGTGTTTTTGTCACAAATGTGTAAAACAAGCGATTTTCATGCTGAAGTTGCTCATCAGATGAGGGAACAGATGGTATTTTTCCATCAAAATAGGCTTAGATGGGAACAAATTTACGTCCCATCAAACACCCCAAAACTAAACTGTTAGTTGTCCTCAAACAACTCAGAAATAATGGTTTAGGCTGCTCAATTTCAAAGAATAGCTCAACATCAAAAACTTGAGCCAGTGAGCAATCATAATCTTTTCAAAAAAATAAACTACTTTCCATAGGTAACAAGTAAAAAGAATTTGTTCCTAGGTAAGTGAAGGTTGTTGATCTTTTGTCTCACTATCACTTAGGGCTTGGTGTTTCTCTGTCCATTCCTGGATGTGATTCTTCAGAACTTGCTCTTCTGCTGCTTTCCTATGAAGTGTAGATGTCTTTCCTTCCAAGGATCTTTGGATAGGTGGGTTTATGGAGGTGTGGAAGACTAGTGGTCTTAATTATGGGGCCAAGGAACGTTTACATTTGTGCTTTTGAACTGGACTTTTTCTGTTTGAGGGAACGCCTTTTCTTTTTGTACCTTTTTCTTCCCTTGAAGGAAAGTTTTCTGGCATTTTCTTCTGAATCCTTTTGAATGGCTATTCCCCTTTTCTTTGTTTGCCTTCTTCTGTCCTTTTTGTTCATTTTTGGGTCTGTTCCTGGCCCTTTTTGGTTGACCCGGTGATGATTATGGATTGAATGGAAGTGTGTGTATGGTTTTGTTTTGTTTGAATGAAAGGAAGTGAGTGTATAGTTGATCCTTGGTAGTAGAATCCATCTGTTCTTCAGTAGTACTTACAGCATCAAGGCAAGTTTAGAAGTTTCATTGTGGTTACACCTCAGGAACGCTCTCATGAGTAAGTGTTTGGCCTTTTTCATTCCTTACCAGCTTTAGTTCACACAGATCAGCATCCCTAAAAAATCTGAAGATTAAATTCTCTTCACTTTTCCTATATCAAGTACTCAGAGAAAGAATGAGAATGATTAATCATTGACTTTGTGTTTCATGTCATTGGCTATTCAAAATTGTACAGCCACAATACTATAACTGAAATGTATGCACCAAGCAGTTTGAACAAAAATATTTTTCATTTCAAAAAGAGAATATTTACAAGGAAACGGAAAGGAAAATAAATACACAGTACTGAAAATAAACTAAAATTTAAACAATTAGGAGGGTTTTCTCCTTTTCACTGGGGACGTCTCTTGTCCAAGGTGGTGTCCTTCTGAGCACCCTCAGCTTCTTTAGCAGCATCAACTTTCTCTTGCGTAAGTGGTCTCCTTCTGAGCTGATCTCTCAGTCTTCTTATTTCAGCTTCAGGGAGCCATTTTTCAGCATCCTTCAGTAGATCGCTGATTATTGCAACGAGGTAATTGATGGTGGATCTCATCATTGTCCTACCAGTGCGAATGTGAACAATCTATCCTTCAGCATCTAACAGCCTCATTTCCGACTCATAGATTCTCCCCTCCAAAAATGTTCCAAAGGCCTTGAGGGCTTCTTTGGTTTCTTTTCGTTCTTCAGAATGTTTGAGGAGGAGTTTACTAAGCAGTAGTTCAGCTCTATGGTTATGCATGGAGTTGGAAAGTATCAGGGAGTCAGATGCTCTTCTGATCTCTCCCGTGACAGCCTGTAATATTGATGCAGAAGATGCAGCACTGGTGTCTTGGATGGTTGCTCTGATGGTGCTGAGTTGTTGTTCTCTATCTTCCTTCTGTTGTTCCTGGAATTTGTTGAAGGAAGAAGAGAGTTGGTTTAATTTGTTCCTTAGATCTTTCAGCTCTTCAGTAGTGCTTGTCATGTCCACTTGAGGAATGGATTGCTTTGCAGGTAGCAGCTTTTCTATCCTATTCTCCATCATTTCAAATATTTCAGCAATCCCAATTTGTGACTTCTTTTACGTTGGCAGGGGAATTGTTGAGATAGGGGAAGAGGATATCTGTTTGCTTTGCTGGCTGCTGCCTACCACAGGAGGTTCTTCAAATGTTTGCCTGGGTAAAACCTCTGGTGGTTTGGATGAGGAGGGGATTGCTTCAGTGTGTTCCTCCATCAGTGGAGGAACTACCAATCCTTCCTCCTCTGCTAAAGCTCTAGCAAGAGCTTCGTCCCCAAAAGTATCGGGACAGATAACAGGGTAAGAGAGGGGACCTCCCAGACTGATTGGTCTGGGAACGGATGGATTTTTATTTTTCTTAGGAGATTCAGCAAGAATCCCCTTTCCTTTATTAGTTTTCTTTTGTGGCTGAGCTTCTTGTTCAACCACTGGTGTTTCGGCAGCAGGTGCTGCTTCCATTTTTGTTCTCTCCTCTCCTTGTTGTTGCCTAGGATAGGGTTGTGGTGTGATAGGTGCTGGTGAAGAGTGAGCATATGGTAGTGGGGGCGGAACGTCAGAGAAAGTGGTAGCAGAGCTGCCTAGGGACGTCTCCTTAGTAGCTGGTGTAGACTTTGACCTTCTCCCAGCTTTCAACCTTTTTGACAAAGGCTCATCGCCTTCAATATCCTCCTCTTTATCAAAGAGGGTGATGGGTTTTTCAGAGGATGCACCCTCTGGCCTCTTGGTGCTGCTGAAGGTTCTCTTCAGCCTTTGACTCAAACGTTCCCCCTTTCTTGGGAGAGCTTTGGCAGAGGATTTCTATTTTTCCCGTTTGCTTTTAGTAGTAACATGGGCATCCTTTTTCACCTTGGTGGGAGGGGGAATGGTTCTTCTTGCAAGAATATAGGCAGAAGTGGTGGATTTTGAAGGGGTGGCCTTTGGGGTTTTC